TTGGCTACCTGAAAACACATCATGCTTAGAAAGAAATGTGTCCATTTGGAAAAGGAAAATTAAAATTAGCTAAGCATGATAAGCAGGAAAGATTAGAATTATCTAAGATTGAAAATGAAAAGCGAGAAAAGGCTGAATTAGCTAGAAAAATATTATAATTTGCCAGAATAGAATCAGAAATTAAATTAAAAGTACTAAAGCTTGAACATACTCTCAAAAAAATATATTTTTCGGAAAATAGTAATTAATAGCAATGATAATAGTGTCGTATATAAAAATCGACAAAGGTTGCTAAAGATATTATACAGTTTACAACCGGACTTGGAAGACGTTGATTTATATTTGCAAATGTTGAAGCAAATAGCTTCTGTAGATAAGCTGAATCCCTTCTAGTGGGCTTATTCAACGATTGATGTCAGACAGATCGTGAAAGGTATAACGAGACAAAACACCATGGGAAAATTTAACGTATTAGGAAATCAAAGAACTATTAAACCTTAAATATCAATTAACTCCGGATATAATTGCGACAGTAGTTTTACAAATTAAAAAAACGGCTAGTCAAACTGGGAGAGAAGTCGCCTATTTTCCAAATTGAATGGCTAGGTTAAAGTCATGAAAGTAGAATCTTTTGAAGATTTAATTTCGCTATTGATAAAGGATCGGATGGTAAGATTGGTTTTCCCCAATTTAAAGATTGGTCCAAGATTTTTAAATAATTAGCCCAAATGCTACAAAATTTTGATGAAGTTAGAACCAGTATCGCCTTTTAAAATAGGGATCAAATAATTATTGAGAATAAAAATAAATCTTTCAATCCTAATCTGTTTAGGAAATTTAGAAATGAGTGCATGAAACTTAAAAAGACTCTTCTTGAAACTAAACGAGAAAATGATTAAATTTTCTAAGGCAAAGATAAAGAAGGTAGACAAAAGAGAGCGGTGCAATGCTACTATTGTGGAAAGTTTGGGCATTTAAAACTAATGGCGGCACAGACTTTCTCGTAATAGTTTTATTACGTCTTTGCGGTCTTGCCCCTTCCTCCACCCAGTTACCATCTATCGCCGCCAAAAGTTCATTTTTTTTAAAACAGATTGTCAATTTTTCTATTTTGAAATGGCTCAACGGAAATATTACTTTCCAGAGTATTAAAGAAGAGTAAAACTTCATCCTTGATGGACATTTTCGTTGTAAATGCAAATTTTGAGTCTCTTCTGCATAGAAAACGTTTGTTTTCGAGAAACTTCATTATTCGAAAAACTTTATTGGAAGTCGTTTGAAGCACTTACACTCACAAATTGCTGAAAATGTGCATATTAACGATGTCAGAGGTATTTAAAAAATACATTTGAGTAATGTTTGGAGAAAAAGCAAAATAATACAGCAAAATTACATTTACGTCTTTATAAACATTGCATTACTCGTACAAAAAAAAATTGAAGAAAAAATTGGAGACATTTTTGAGAAAATGGCATTTGAGCATTTCTAAAAATGCGAAAATTTCAGTCCATTTTCACAGAAACCTTTTGAGTTTCCTTAAGTTAACTTTATAAGACAACATTCAATGCACATACTGTTATTATTAATAACGTGAGAGACAAGTACGAAAAAACACATATTTGTTACTCTTGAGAAAACAAACTCCATTTTGCTCTATGCCTTTTTGTCACATAATACATTGAGTGCTATCCCTATCAAAAGTTTGTCGAAGAAATTTTGAACCGTTTTAGTGAAATTTTGGTTTTTGATTTTTTTTAAATTGCACATATTTCACTCAATATTGGGCGAAAACTACTAAAATGATTAATAACTTAATTAAAGAACGAATAGCATAGTAAAATTTCATTTGAAGGAAAAATCTGAATCTTCAGTTTTGAAAAATCAGAATCCGAATCAATTTCAAACTTTTGAAATTTTCCAAAATTCAGAGTTGGAAGAGAAAATAGGGCATATGCCACCTTTATAAGTGTATTTTACTCTATTCTGACAATAAATTTGAAGAAAAAATTTGGAGCCGTATTTTTTTAATTGGTGTTTGAGAGTTTCTGAAAATGCTGAAATTTCAGCTCACTTTCACAGAAAAGTTTTGAATTTTCTAGAAACTGCAAGAGATAATATAAAGCACATGTACTCGTAAATGTACATGTACTCGTATATGAACAAACGCAGCTAATGTAACAACGACGTGACAAATTAACAAATAAAACCGACGTGAGAGACCAGTCAAAGAATTTTTTGTTGTAATTTTTGAAAAACACAAAAGAATACAGCTAAATGGCTTTTATATCATCTCATAGAGAACATTTAGCACTATCCCTACCAAAAGTTTTAAAAAAAATTTGAAGCCAATTTCGAGAAAAAATTGTTTTTGTTATTTTTTTTTAATTTCACATATTGCATTCAATATTTCACGAAAACTACTAAAAGGTTTCAAAAATGTATACGACCTTCATGAAAGAACTAATTAAGGACAACAAATTCCATTCCGGGGAAAATCTCCATCTTTAATTTTGTAGTTGTAATAAGATGTCGAACAAATTCCAAATTTTTGCAATTTTCGAAAATTCAGAGTTAACGTTGAAAATCGGCGAATATGTTTCTAGCTTCTTTTTGACGAAGAACATCAAAGAATTTAAGAGCTCTTTCTCCATCATAGTTTCATTTATTTTCTAAGCTCTCTGCTACTGTACTTCGCAAATTTTCTTGAGCCATCTGCCTTCTCTTTTAGATTCATACGCAAAACACCCTGGCAATTTCGTGGGGATGGTCTTCCTTGAGACTCGGTCGTCCCATAGTACCCTTCGTGACTTTTCATCATTACATAAGGACTTGCAGATTCACTTTTATCAAAGTGAAGTGCACCCACCTCCAAAGAAATGAGAGAAGTCGGATACACAAGGTAAAACAATTATTCCGCTTCAATGACGTATGTTAGATCTTTAAAATCGACCACACCAGAAAAAATAAATAATATTGAGAAAGAGATATTGGCCTGTTTTCATCAAATTTAATTTTTAATTCATGTTTTGAAAAAAATATTTTCCCCTCTTGAACTGTCTGAATGTATATGTATGTAAATGTATATTGTTTTAAATTAGACAGTTTTTGAATCAAAATAAAATGAGCTTTTAGGGATTAGTAGATATTATATGGTACCATACCAACTGCATGTAGGTTTTGTCACAAACGTTTCACAGAAACAAGAATATCAATTATTCGTGCGTAATTCTGTGGAAAATTGATTTCGAGGTTTGAACGGTAATATACGTTTTGGGGTCTCCAGATACCGAAAAGTGGTTTTTATTTTCAAAATGTCTGTGTGACCGTCTGTATGACTGTGTGACTGTCTGTGTTTGCCTGTGTGACTGTATGACTGTGACTGTGTGTCGTGTCTGTCAGTCTGTCCGTCTGTCCGTCCGTGAACACTACTAACGCCTAAATCATGCGTAGGATTTCTTCAAATATTAAAGAAACCCCTATCTGGCTTGAGTCGAAACTTTAAGATTTTGAAAAACATCCCAAAAATTTGGGGGTACTTTCGATGAAGCCCTCCGGATATTTTCAAAATTTTCTTAAAAACAGCGCCAATTTTGTCTTTAAATTTCTTGAAATAATAGAATAACATACACTTATAAACGTAGTATAGATACGATTTTCACGGTTAACGTATTTTCGAAAATTTGAAAAGTACGAATTTTTTTCGGCGTCTTCCTATAACTACAAAATTGAAAATGAGTACATATTTTTCTTTCAAATACAATTTGTTCTCCACAGTGAGTTCTTTTATTAAGGTAATGTACATTTTTTTGAAAATTTTAGTAGTCTTCACGCAATATTGCATGCAATATGTGCAATTTAAAAAAAGTTACAATACCAAGTTTTTCAATAAAACGTTCTCTAGTTTTTTTTCAAAAACTACAAAAATTTAATTTTTAGACTTGTCTTTCATATCGTTAATATTTATATTAATGTCAATTTGTTCACATTATTGTATTCATAGGTTCAGGTGCTTTAAATACTATCAGATAAAGTTTCTCGAAAACTCTACCGTTTTCTGTGAAAACTAGTTCAAAATTCCGCATTTTCAGAAACACTCAAATGCCATTTTTTCAAAAACGGCTCTCAATGTTTTCTTCACATGTTTGGATAGTGCTAATTTGCACTTTAATATGACTTAACTTCAATTATATTTTTCAAAAATACACAAATATAAGTTTTTAAACATTTCTCACGCCGTAGGTATGCCCATTTACAGCAATTTGTAAACACTATTGAATTTGTGGGTTAGAGTACTTAAAATTACTCAAATTAAGTTTTTCAAAAACTTAAATATTTTTTTGTGAAAAAGAATTTACAGTAGCACTTAAACGCCAGTTTTTTAAAAATCGGCTTCAAATATTTCAAAGAAAATTGCCACTTAGGACGCACTTTTACTCTTTTAATCTTAAAATAATATTTCCGGTCTATAATTAGAATACCTAAAAATTAAGGAAATATCAAAAAAAAAAAAAAATGCGGTGATAGATGACAGCTGGCAAGTCAGAGTAGCTAGCCGAGACCAAAAGAAATAGAAAACTAATAGTCTGTGCCATTCTGTAGCGCCCCTAGTTTAATGTTGCGTTTATGAGGTGTCGGTTTTTGATGAGTTATAAGTATCAACATGACTAAGAAACATGTAATAAGAATAATGGAATTCTGAAGTATTTCGAAATATGATAGCGTTTCATCTTTAAGACGCAGAATGCCATCTACGTTCTGGAAGTAACGTCTTGTATTTCTGTAAGTTTAATGTTTCGTTTCAAAAAGTATCCAGTTGCAAAAGAAGCAAAAGACGCTCAGAATTCAAAATGCTCTGCGTCATCGTACGAACGGCGTCATCGAGGGCCAATCCGGGGTGAGTGTACTCGCTGCCGGCGATCCCCACACCTCGTCCCATCCCCACCTCACGAACAACTCAGCGCGGAGAGGGGCGGGAGGGGCAGAAGGGAAGTTCACTGCGGTTGTCAACTTTACGTGCAACAGTCATTTATCCAGTAGTACATGCTGTCACTTTATGCTGCGTATCGTGCTTGCTCAAGAAGCGTACTAGGGAGATCTCCTGGAAGATTCAAGTAGTTTAGGTAAGTAATGTTCTAATTCTTCATGGAATTCTGAGTGTTTGTTTGTTCTATGTAAATGGATTGGGAATTTTAATTTTTGTGCCAATAGGTTCCACGTACAGTTTTATCAATAAGTTGCTATTTTCCTCAAGTGTCAATTTTGAGGTCAAGCAAAATCCTCTCAGACGTGTGAGTAAAATAACCACGGTTCGATATGGAAATTTTTAGGAAACGGAACGCCCTCTTCGACCTATTTCGTAAATATAGCGATGACGATATGACGATGAGATTTTCGGGATTAATTTTTTTGCAAGTTCTTACAGGTGATGAACCTGTTTGAACCTCACTTTACTTAACGTCTAATATTGAAAAATGATTCGACATCGTAATTATAAATATATATATATATATATA